AGCCATTGGTCACAGTGGTAAGTGGGGTTGGCATGGCAAACCTACAGTGCAGAACAGGGCACAAAGAACAAAGAGGCAGGGGAAGGCAGAGAGCTAGCTCGGTTTCCATGGAGCCAGGGAAAGAGACACTAAGCTTTAGGGGTTGGAAGCTGTGGATGTGTAGGGTAGGTGAGTTGAAAAGCAAAAAGGAAAAGGAAATGGGGCAGGATGGGTAGCTACACACACACACACACACACACACACACACACACACACACACACACACATACACACACACATACACGCTCACACATGTATATATCGGGGATGCCAAACAAATGTATACACATGACTTGTGTTCACCTTTTGTTTTTGGTATATATTGAGTATTACCATTTTAATACAGTTTGTTCGTTTTTTCCCCTAAAATGTGTGTACATTTTTTTGGCACTCTGTATATATGCAGCAGGAGACAGGGAGCACAGCTCCATAGGGAAGCCGGTTCAGCTAACTGTGTGTTGGAGAAGGTAAAGTCCTTGGCGGCGAAGCAGAGATCCACGAAGAGCCTGCAGAAGGGTGGGTCAGGAGCGTATCTCAGGACATGTGGAGGACCCGGGTTCAAGTCCTGGCTCTGCCACTTTTGGGTGCTGTCACCTTGGGAAAGTTCAGATTCCTCATTTGTGAAGTACGGAGGTAGGATTAGCTGGTCCCTTAAAGTCCTGAGATGTTATGAGGTAAAGAGTCAGCATCTTCCCAGCAGAGACCACAGACTAGATTTCTGGAAACTGTAATGATAGTCATTTATGTATTCATCAAGCACTGACTGAGCACCTAGGATGTGTGAAGCACCGTTCTGCACACTGAGATTGCAGGAGTGAGCATGATGAAATCCTCTCTTATCATGGAGTCTGCATTCTGGGGAGAGAGGCAGACAAACACATAAATGAACAGCTAATTTGAGGTGCTAATAATTGCTGTGCAGATGGTAAAATAAGACAGTGTGGTAGAGAATGACCATGTATTGGGGGAAGGGGCTGGAGGGGAAAACTGGGTCCTCCCTGAGGAGATAATGTTCAAGCAACACCTGATTTGGAGGAAGGAGCTAACAATGAGATAGTCTGTGTGTGTGTGTGGGGGGGGGGGGGGAGCCGGTT